ATATTTGATTTACAAATAAGGAATCCTACTTCGCGGAATTTCATTTATCACGGTAGGGTCTAGAACCGATTAACCGCGATAAACGAGGGTTCACTGTATAGGGTTACCATGAGTCAAAATTTACTCAATGGCAATGAGTGATGGGCTATCAAGTCGTGTCCCGCTACCATGGTGATCACAGGCATTACCCAACCAAACAGTTCTGTACCATCTATTATGGATGAGACTGTTGCGATTCATAGTTTTCACTGGCTGATTTTCAATCACGTATCATCAGGCCTGTCTTCCTACTCTTGGTCTTCAAGCTCTGCCGAGACTCCTTTGATGCCACAGTAACATACATGTCTCCACTGAGGGACAGGTGGTAGCTGCCCTAGTGCATTGGCCGGGAGACAATTTCAGGGCTCCTGGCATGGAAGCTGAGATTTCTATTAAGAAATGGCTGGCATATAGACTATTCTTTCCTATATGTCTTTGGGATTGGGAGAGATTTCACCCCTTCCTTTATACTTCCTCTATGCAATTCTGTACTTCCTGTCCCTCCCTAGAATTTGGGATTTTAGGCCAGCCCCGTGGACATTTTCACAGCGGCAAGTCTCTTCTCTTTCCCAAGAAAGTGGGTAGGCCCCTGCAGCCCCATTCTCCTCCTTACCGACTCTTACCTTGCTTCCTCCTCCTCTCTATATGGAAGATGGATAGGCATTCATTCCCCGCCTGCACATTCTGGCCTAGCCGGTCTCTCCTCTCTAACACTTACCTTTTCTCACAAGGTTCTTCCCAACGCTTCTTTAACACTTGGGAGTATATTGACTCCTGGCCCCTGACCCCCGAACTAGGTGAACTTTGGTCCTTCCTGAGCACTTACAACCTCCATTTCCTATTTTGGATTGGGGCGGGGGTGGGGGGCGAGGTGTGTGTGTGACCGGAAGCTGCAGAGATGGTGGTAAGCTTTGGATTTCTAATCACAAGGTTGGCTGTTCAAACGCCCCCACCCCACCCCCTAGCCACTCTCCAGGAGAAAAATTTATAGCCTTGGAAACTTAAAATAGGGCCGTTATTTCTAAATGGTATGGGTTTTGGTAATGCCACCGATTGCACCCCAACTGCACTTCCACATTTCTCATAGAGAGGGTTAACTAGCCGCATCCGCTACTCGCATTTCAGGCTGCCCCCCAGTGGGGACATCTTCCTTCCTGAGAGGGTAGTTGGTGCCGCTAGGTTCCAACCATCCACCTTTCTGGTTCCCGGCCCAAGGCGTTAACTACCTGGCCGTCAGGGCCCCGCTCCTTGAAGGAGGGTGTACTGATCAGACTCACCCCAAACACGTGCTACGCTGAGCCCCGTCCCTCCCGTCTTTACTCCGTTCTGCTCGGCACGACCCTGTCCCAGTCTGGGCCGCAGGCTTCCACAGGTGCTGTCACCCCTGGCCCCGCGACCTCCCAGTCCCGCTGAGCCGCCAAGACGTCCCGTCGACGACCCACCTCCCGACCACCCCGTCCTCGCCGGCGCCCTGCCAAGATGGCCGCCGCTTGGGCGCGGCCGGGCGGGGCGCGCCGCGAGGGCGTCTGGGAGTTGTAGTCCGGGCGGGCCCTCTGACGCATTCGGCCGCGGGTCGCTCGGAGCCATTGTAGGACACGGCGCGGGTGAGTGCGGCGTGGGCTCCGCGCCCGTCGGGGGCCGTGCGGGCAGCGCCGGCCCGGCGAGCCGATGAGCGCCCGCAGCGGGGTCGCGGCCGGCCGCGATCCCTCCTGCCCGCGCCGGGCTCAGGCCCCGCGTGACGGCTTCCCACGGCTAGGGCGGCATGGTCGGGGCCGCGCGAGCGAGGAAGACCGCGTCCTTCGAGTCCGGGGTGGGGAGTGGGATCCGCGCCCTCCCCGTGCGGAGGAGAACGGGCTTCCTCCACGCTTGGGGGCAGTTGGGGACTCCCCCCTTCTCTGGGCCTGGTTCTGAGTGTGTTCCCCGAAGTCGGCGCTGGGTTTGCACTCTTGCTGGTGAGGGGCTTCTCTGGACAAAGGGCTGCCACCTAGCCCACACGCTTTCCCCGCTTTTTCTATCAGTGGCCTTTTCAGGACTCTGCCGTCCCCCACCAGAGTGATGTCGAGGAAGCGTGTGGATGGAAAGCCCTCCGGTCTCCCAAAGGCCTGGTCTGGGGTAAGTGGAGGTCCCCTTGAGCTCCAGGCTGCCTCTACGGGGAGATGAGTCACCTAGGTCCCCAGATGCCCTGGGGAGTGGGAAGCGTCTCGGCCGAGAGACATCTGGGTGATGCCACACACGTTCAGCCGTCCAAATGATTGTGGAAGGTTTGGAGGGTTAGGTTAAAACCAAGCCCTAACTGGCCCTCTTGTCACTTGTGACTCAGGACAGCTTAGAACGGACCCATAGGGTTTCCAAGGCTGTAACTCTTTGGTTCCTGGCCTTCTGGCTAGCAGCAGAGAGCAACCAGGGCTCCCGTGAGGATCAGATTTGTGCGCTTCGATTTTCCCCTAGAGGTAAGAGGGCTGAGCAGGTTGGTGTTTAGATTTCAGCAGCTCCATTGGCATCAAGCGGGATGGAAGGTGAACCCAGTGCAGTTCCAAAGAGGAACGAGATGGGGGGTGTAATCCTGACAGAAGGGTGGAGAAGTAAGGGAGAGGTCATAGCTCGGGGTTGAAGATTGCAGTGTATGAGTGATTCTTCAAGAAGTTCCTCTGTGGGAGGCTTCAGCACTCCCAACCCTAAGTTGAAGAATTAGTTAGAAACGGGTTTGTAACAGAGGAAGGCACCCGGTTCTGCTTGGAGTGTTGCCCTTGGGACCAGAACCAGGGTCTGCCCAAGGCCCTTGGGCTTGCTCAGTTTTCACGTTCTACAGGTATACCGCAGTGATAATCCAGGGTGTGTCCAGACTGACTCAATAAACAATATTATAACAAGGCAGATCACACTTTTTTTGCCTTTCCAATCCATATAAAAGTTATGTTGTCATGTGCTATCGCATGGAAAACTTTGAAGTGTTGTGAGAATTTCCAAAACTGTGACACACACACACACACACACACACACACACACACACACACACAGGAATTGAGACTACGCTGTTGGAAAAAGGGTGTGGATAGACTTGCTCAGGGTTGCCACAAACCTCAAACTCAATAGGATGAGATATACCTGTAAAAATGGGACCCTACGTGCGACTTGGATTTTTCAGAACCCTGAATGCTCAGGTCACCTTGCTGCCATCCTCTGCAGCCTGTGCCTGGTCAGCCTCTCCTTCCTTGCCAGCATGGGTAAGGACTGGCCCTGGCTGAACAGGAACTTGTGGGTCTTAGGAACCAGTGACCTTTGAAGATGTGGTCCTGAGTTTCACCCCGGAAGAGTGGGAACTGCTGGATCCCATGCAGAAGACCCTGTACAGGGAAATGATGCTGGAGAACTACCGGAACCTGGTCTCAGTGGGTAAGGCTGGTCTCTCATGTCAATAAAGACCTGCTTTGAAGTGCAAAGTGGTGCCTCAGAGGTGGGTGTCTATGCTTGGAGTCCTGCTGCAGGGATCAGGGTGGCTACGTTTGGGTCCTGGGGTCTGAAGGAGAAAGATGGTCCCCTTCTGAAGTTCCACCTAGGCCATCCCTCAGAGCCTCTGAAGGCTGGAAGGTGGGCCCATCCACCTAAAAGGATGTTTGCAACCATATTTCGAGATGTTTGTTGTCATAACAAGAGATCCAGCGACCTGGAGTCTGCAACTCCTGAGTATCAAGTATCCTGGAGTGGTTCTTTTAACAGCTCTTCATTGTTAGTGTGTTTTTCATCCTTGGAACGATTGAATCTGCATAGTTGCAGCTCCCAGTGTCCTATCTATATTGAAAGCAGAAAGATGGGTTGAAGGAGCCCTGGTCAATCCTCATTTCACAGCTGGCATGTTTATCAAGAAACAAAAGCTTTCTCCTCAGAGATCCCAGCCTGACCTCCCTTGCTGTACCATTGGCCACAAGTGAGTGCCACCAATATCCCCAATTTATAGTCTGAGCGAAGCAAGCTTCAGGAATGAGGCGGTTTCATTACCTTAGGCCAGAGCATAGCAGGGAGAACATGGGGACAGAGTGAGCCACAGTGAGACAGCGCTCTCTCCTGAACATAAGCCACCCCGCCCCCAAGCCCTGTCGCTTTTTCCCTGAACAGAACATCAGCTTTCCAAACCAGATGTGGTGTCTCAGTTAGAGGAGGCGGAAGAACTATGGATGAAGGAGAGAAAAATTCCTCAAGACACCTTTCCAGGTGAGAACCAGGCAAGTGGGAGTTCCTACAGGTAGCAGGTTCTAGTGTTTGCACAAGGAAACAAGGTAGGCAGAGAGACCTCAGGTAAGGTCCTAAGTGAGTAACTGCATATGTGCAAAATGAACAACAAAATCAACACCGTGTTGTCTTCCTGCCTTAGAGGTCTCAATTGAATGTGAAAGTTACACCTCATATAGGTGGCACGTGGTAGATGGAGTTAACAGTGAGAGGCGTCGTTACCTAGGGTCTGTGTGCTTCCCTCAAGTAATCACCACAAACTTTGTCAGGAGTATGTCTATAAAAACGTGTAAGTTTTAGGAGTATGTATCTCTCTCTTTTTAAAAAAAAAATTTTTTTTTTTTTTTTGTATCTCCCTCTTGATAAACATCTAAATGGTTGCCAGTTTCTTGTATCCAGTTGCATGGACTTCCCTACATACATTCTGTTGCATTCATGACTCGAGTATTTCTGTAAGTAGATTTCTAGAAATGGAATCGCAGGATTAATTGATGTGCGGCTTAAAAATCTGGTAGAAGCAGTTGCCTGGTGCGATCGTAAAATAGAAGGAGGCTTCAAAAAGTCTGTAGAATTGTGGGAAAATATAATCTTTCAGTTCCATTCTTCACAAACTTTTAAAACCTGTGTGTGTGTAAGTAAATGTGCCCAAGTGAAGGGGAAGTTCTTTTCATCACCACCATGGTGGGCTTTTTAAGGTTTACAGATACTGTAGGCAAAAAGTAGTTCATGTTTCACTGGCGCATTTTGTATTTCACTCCTGATGAAGTTGAGTGTCTTGTAAACTTCGAGGAGCTCATATGCTTTCCCAGCTTTCCTCTGTTTGCTTTATTGGCGTTGTAAGAACTCTGCATAGTCTGGATACTAATATTATAGGGACTATGCCCCTGGCCAAACTTATCTTTTTACCTTTTTACAGCTGATTTCTTACTATACCAAAGTTTTGTCATATAGACTGGTTTTTTCCCCCAAGCATGTTTTTTCTCTGTTGTGGATTCTAGCGTTCATAGGTAGGTAGATTCTGTGAGAGGATTTGATAGAATTTATGGGGAAAAGGAATTAAGAAAAAATATACGTTAACTTTATTTTGTAACGTATGCTCCATCAAGTTCAAGATACTTTAGTAACCACTGATATCAGCCATGTAGCCCATCCCTAGAGAACCGAGGGCCTGGGGCTATAACCACATCAGTGCAATCTAGTTTACATTATTAACTGAAGAAAAGTGAGTGCTTTTTAAAGATGTTTTTAAGGTAAAGAAACGAAAGAAATCAGAAGGAGCCAAATCAGCACTGTAAGGTGTATGCGTAATGATTTCCCATAGAAACACAAATTACTCATTTGATGAGAAGAGTAGGAACATTGTCCTATTGGAGAAAGATTCTTTGGTGAAGGTCTCGGGCTTTTTTTGGGGGGGTAGGTGGGGTGGGGGGTAATGCTTTGGCTAATGCTCAAAAACACTCAAATATTACTATTATAATAAGCAAATCTTATTCTTAAACCCTTCAGAATGTCAACCAACAACATGCCTGAACATCTCAAAAAATTGTTGCTATGACCTTTGTTGACTGGTGCACCTTCGTTTTGAATGAACCATTTCTTCCTCTAGGAAACCATTGCTTTGACTGTGCTCTGTCGTCCTTATCTTTAATGTTAAGACGTGCTTCCTCTCCTGTTAAAATGCTTCCAAGAAATGCTTCAGGATCTTGATCCCACTTGTGTAATTTTTCATTGAAAGCTCGGTTCTTGTATGCAGCTGATCTGAGTGCAGCAGTTTGGGGACACATTGGGTGAAAAGTTTGTTCAGCTTAATCTTTCAGTCAGAACTGTGTAAGCGGAATCAGTCAATTGAGATGTCTGATGTTGGCTATGATTTTTGCTGTTTATCATTGTTCCTCTCCAATTAAGGCATGAACACATGTTTCCGCGCAATTGATGTGGATGGTCTACTGTTGCGAGTTTCAGCTTCAACATCATGTCCCTTCTGAAAACTAATTATCCATTTGTAAATCACTGATTTCATTGGGAATTGTCTCCATAAACTTCCTACAGCATCAGTGATCTTACCATTCTTCGACCTAAGCTCCACCATAAGTTTGATGCTTGTTCTTCCTTCAATATTAGCAGGATTTGTGCTGCTCTGAGAAGGGGCTCTTTTCAAACTGACGCCTTAACCTTCATAGTGCCTCAAAGTAGAACCAGTTCAGATGCTTTATAGCAAGGATCTTGATGCAAAATAAATAAATGGCATTCCCTGCCCGCCCCCCCCCCCAATAATACACATTTCCTATAAACTTTTTGAAGACCCTTCTTATAAATACTTTCTTATGTTCTTAATTTGTCTTTTATTTAATTTTTTTGGATCTTGCTCGTATATGGTTTGGGACACAAATACTAGTTACATCATTTTCTGACTAGATTCTTCCTCTCTTTATTGGAAACCATGTCTTTGCTGTGGACTAAATTCCCATCATCTTTATCTTCTGATCCCTTCTAAATTTTCTCTTTTACTCCCATTGTCCCTTAGTAAATACTACATTGCTTTAGTTAATAAATACCGTACTGCATTGTTGCTTTAGAATGAGTTTAGGTAGGTGATGGTGCCTCTCTTTTTATTTTTATTTTTTTAACCTTAGAGATCCTCAGCCATTTAGTTTACCAGGTAAAAATCTATCATTGGTTTGTCAGAATTTACTAAGTAAATCCTATTAAAATGTGGGTTGTGTTTGATTGGATTTATAGATTACCTTGCAGTTAGTTAAACTTTGGGAGGGACCATATTGTGCGGCTTACTACTTATGCTCTATTGGGCCATCCCAGCACCGTGCTTAAACTCTCATTGATGTTGGTCAAGAATTTTCCCAGCTCATTGTCATTTTTCACTAATAATTAAATGGGGGCTTCAAAACTCACATGAGAAAAAAGTTTATTTTCTTAACATTTTTCCATACACTTTTGAAGCCCCACCATTAAGAGGAAGAAGTGTACACTTTTAAAAAAAAATAACTTTTTGCCTTTATGTCATTTAGTTCAGTACATCGGTGTTTGTAAACGCGAATCTTGACAGTGATGAGTGGGTATTGGGTCTTAGGAAGGTTCCTGGGGTTTGATGAAATAGTCCCCTACCCCTTCTTAATCAGAATCAGTAATAGCCCTGGTTTCTCCTTCCGAGCTTCCCAGGCAGTCCTGAGATTGGGTCTTCTCTTGTGAACAGCGAACACAGTGACCCTATAAGCACCTTGTTGTGACGCGTTCCTGTGAGTTCACGGACTTGTTTCGAGTTCTCTGTGTCAGTGTTGTCGAATTAAGCTGGCAGGTTTATTTTATTTATGTGTTATCGCTGACGATGCTTGTGCGGAATCTACACCTAGTGCCCTCATCTTTGTCAGTGTTTCTCTTGGCCATAACAGAGAGGAATTGGAGCCACTGTGGCTTCTAATCCCTTGTCTTGAATCTATCTCATTTCTCGTTTCTCCAGGTTCAGCTTATCGATTCAGCATTAGCATTTTTTAGTTTTCTTTCCCTTGTTCCACGTCATTCTTTTTTTTTAATATCATGTCACATTTAATAACTAGTATATAAATCGAATCTAGGTGCTGTATAGAGACCCATAGGAGTGCTATTAGCTAGGTGGGCAAGGAGATTTTGAGAGCTGACTGTCTGGGGGCGGTAAAAGACTGAGCTCTGTGGACTGGAGAGAAATCGATCTTGGTACGAGTGCTCAGAGGCATCCTGAGGTTTTCGGCCAAGTCATTCTTTTCATGACCTTCACTGAGAGCCTTTCTGCTGACCTGGCACAGCTCACTGCACTGTGCCTCGGCTTCAGTATTTTTCCCAATGAGCACATGTTGCTGTCCAAGATACCTTTCTTTCTGTGATCTAGTTTCCTAAAGGCCCTTGCTGTATTTGGTATCTCACTCTCCCTAGAACTGAGGCCTCATTCAAGCAAACCTGTGTTTGTATACCCCCTGAATGTAGTTGTTCCTTGATTCTAGCTGTCTGGGGAGCACTGAGTTAAGGGTGCAGTTCTCAAGAGAAAGTTAGCTCCAGAGCTTTGAGGTGTCCACGGAGAGACACTTCCAGGGAGTGTCCAGGGAAGCTCTACACAGGCGAGGCTTGGGGTGATTGAGACTGGACTTATCTCTGCCTTCACAGAGTCCTTTAGATACTTTTCTCCCTCTACTTCACCCTTTGCTTTCATCTCACATATATTTGCCATCTCATTCAGTGTACCAAACACGGGATGTATGGTGATAAAAATGCAGCATATTCCTGCCTACGTAGAAATGGCAATCAGTAGATAATGGCCCTTTACAAACAAGATACACAGATGTAACTAGAAGTTGCAATAAGTGTTGAGAAATGTATAGTGTAGAGAGGGAGCAGTAGGAAATTAAGGAGATGTTCACGGTACACTGAGAAAGTAACATTTAAACCTGAAGAAAAGAAGTCTCTAGACATGGACAAGCTGTAGAACGAGCTTGCAGATGGAGACATGGTTTGGGGTGACCAAGAGGTTGGATATGAGCTTGGAACATTTGAGAAATGGAAAGTCACCCAAGAGACTGAAATAAGGTAACTGAGGTGTGGAAGTGTGGGCGCGGCAGACAACATTGGAATTATATTTGGCAAGGGAGCCAGAGCAGACAGCATTGGAGTCCCATTTGGAATAGTGTGTATAGTCGATCACATTGGAATCTCATTTGGAAACATGGGTGCTGCAGATCACATGGGATTCTTGAACTCTTAAGGGAGCTTAATTATTGGTGCAAGTCAGGGCCAGGTTTGGAGTCGGGCTGTGACTTGGCTTTTCACCTCTCACTCGGGGTGCTTGAAGAACAAGACCCGTGGTGGGGCACTAACAAGCAGACCAGGGCTGTAGTTTTGCCTGGGAGAACAGCAGTGGGATAAGAAGTGGAGGTCATGAAGGTAGACTCATTGTGTCCAAAAGAGAGGAAGCCATCAAGTCTTCCACGTCATAAATG